ACATATTTTACGGCCGTTGGTAATTAGCAACGAATTACAATGACATCGCTATTCCGTTGTATATTTCCAACGAACCCTCTGACCGTTGGTAAATTATTGACGGCGGTTTTACCAACGGATTTTACCAACGACATTTTGCCGTTAGAAAACCCATTTACCAACGAAATTCAGGGCTTCACCAACGAAAATTTCCGTTGGTGATGGCGCACATTCTTGTAGTGGAAAGCTCTCTCCTCTTTCTCTAAATCTCTCTCTTAACTCTTTGTTTTCAAGAGTTTTGTTCTTAGTAGTTTTGATAATTTTTGTTCTAATTCGGTGATAGAAGTATTAGCATTCTTAGTTTTCTAAAAGTAGTGACAAGGTGTTAGTCGGCTACTTTCAACCGTTATATCCTACAAATACCATCAGTCAACTTGCACTATAGTAGGAGACGAATTTGTTTTAAGGAAATTGTGTGCAACACAAACCTCGATTCCTTCTGATATCGCTAGTATATCAACAACTATATTTCCTCTATTTTATTGTTACTCTGTTTGTTGTAATGTTTTTTTTTTCCCATTATTTTATTTATATAATTTCTACTATATTTCTAATTTCCTTTTGTATTTTCCTAACATAATAATGTGAATATATCTTATAAAAGTTCCTTTCTTTGTTATCACCATCTCTATTACTTCCCTAGGAACTTCAGCATACACTTTTTCCAAATCAATAAAAACCATATAAGTCAATCATGAGAATTGATACTTTTATATAATAAATTCGAATTGGTTCCCAAACAAGCATCCATCTATGGAATCTGCCATGTATTTCGGCTAATAAAGATGAAAAATTTAATTCCCTATTTTACATGGACGTGATGCCCTATTTTAGTTCCTCACCTCATTCTTTTGCAGTGCCTCCATTCAGGACTTAATGTCTTTCGCAGTTCGGTAGGCCTAACTTACTATTTCATTCATATAATATTTAAGACTCTTGACACCGACGATGCATTGGTACATAAGAGTTTCCCTGTCCTTGGTGGTTTTGTTCTCTTTCAATGGTTTTGAACTTGTTTCTCCGACTTCTTGATCCTTTGATTAGTGAAGAATTTTTGGCTGACCATCTTCCGAGTATGTTTCATTTCTTAGAGGTTCGTCAATCTGGCAATCACAATTGAGCCTCCAATGGATAATGACAAGTCTTTGAAAGGGGTTCAGACAGGCTAAAAATTATGGCTCATTCATCCTTCGTGATGTTTTCGAAATACATTTGCCCCCTTTTTGCATCTTTGAAAATGTATATATACATGCTTCTTTTTCTTGTCATGGTTTGGTGATGACTTTGGGAATGTTGTAACATTAAAGGTATGTCGTTTTCTGTTTTCGATTTTCCAATTTTTCAAAATGTCAAAAAGAACATATTTTCAACAATCTCAAAATGGACACTCAAAACACAAAACTCAAAATGAATTCAAAACTCAAAACACAAAACTGAAATACAAAGAGAACAATACCTAAATTACCAAATATGAGGTTCAGTTTAAGTGGTAAAAAGTTCAAGCAAGAACTATAAGGTCATACTCAAATGAAATAAAATATTGCACCAACTAAAAAAATAAACTAAAAATTGTGAGAGACACAATTTCAAATTATTAACCTTTAGAAAAGTTGATGGTGCAAGTATTTTGCAGGTAACGTTTCTTGAATTTAAGTAAACTGGACGTGGTCTTTCCATTAATGAAACTTTAAGATGCATTTCCTCAATTTTTGGACTTGGGACAGGCTGATGATAAATAGTGAAGGCAGATGCGCTTCATGTTCGTGAATCGGTCGTTGAAGAACTTGGTAGAGTATATTAGGGTTTGGTAATTGATAACATCAAAGAATACAAAATGGCGAAAATGTGTAAGTGACTTACAATATATTGATATTGTCTTCAAAGATATTCAGCTGCCCTAACTGCCCTTCTTGTCCACATTTTGAGATTAGTTTCAGCAATTTTGAAAGGTTTCTAATGGAAGAAGAAATATCAAAAAGAGTTGAGGGCTGGAAGAGCAAAATCCAAATGAACAACAATAGGAACTTTTCTCCTAGGTGACTAGGTCAAGTGTACGAGTTCATTTGAAGACTCTTGTCGGACTACCTCCAATATGCCCCAAAGGTTTAACAAAAATCCTTTTGTAGTATTCTTCAAGGAAGACATTCATGACAACGTTTAACATCCAAAAATCCTCAAAAAACATTTGAAATTAAATGTGTAAAGAGCCTTCCTTACCTTGTCAGGTGCATGGAAAGTGGCTCACAATGTATTAATAATATGCAAGGATAATTCAGCCACACTAAGCATATGCTTGGTAAGTGTTGATGAACCATTTATAATACGGTCAAAAAAGTATCAAACGTGAAACTCGCAAGTAACATCCACTTATTCATCACTTATTTCTATCTATTTATATACAAAATCATTTAAAAACACTTCCCAANATACAAAAATCATTTAAAAACACTTCCCAATTCTTTTGGTCTACCCTTTATTTGAGAGTAGCTTCATCAGTGTTTAGACGATTTACAATGGAAGAAGAAATGGTAAAAGAGCACTTTTGTCCAAAATATGAGAGAGGAATGGATGGGAGAGTAATCCAAATTAAGGATTTGAAGACTCGCATATGGGACTTCCGTGAATATAGCACAAAGGTTTAACAAAAATTCTTCAGTCTTCTTCGAGGAAGAAATTCATGATGATATGATGTATTTAAAATCCTACAATCCCACCAATAATTGCATATTTGAGAGGAGAGCAAAGCTTCTGAGTATCTTCCCTTAAAAACTTGATGAAATCCTCACCTTTCAAAAGTAAATTAAGGAGGAATAGAGATAGAGTTGGATGAGGGGTTCAGATTCGAAATATATAGGCAAAAGATTTGTTCCAAGACTAAGGATAAGGGAGGAGTTGAGGGTGGTAGTGGCGAAGAAGGGGAAAATCAGTGGTTTAAATGTGGAAAAGAGGGACTGCAGGTAGGCGTTGGTGGTTGGTGGCTTTTTCTCATTGGAGGTTGGCAGTGGGGATTGGGGCTCCGGTGGCTTTGGTTGGTGGTCGATCGACTCCCTCATTTAGGGATAGTTTGGAAAGGAAAAAGGTTTTTTAAGATTCATTACCTTAACTGTATTATTGAATCTAGCTAAGAGGACTTCTTAGTTTAACTTATCAATTCATCTGTAAGTAGTTGAACATCTAAGTACTTGTTTGTAATGATCTATCACTATCAATTCTGATAAACAGAAAAAATAAAAATAAAAATCTAAGAGAAATACAATATATTTGGAAATCTAAATGAAAAGGCTAGCTATTCTTTGATAATTTTAAGAAAATGATTGGTCAGGGTTTGGTTGAACAGATCACCAATTTTCCTCCTTTCAAACTCTTATTGCTGAGAAAGGATCGAGCATTTGTTACAGGAAATTTATTTTACCCTATTTTTTACTTCATAAAGTTATACATAGAAAACTATTTTCATATATTGGCTATATCTAAATAGCTTCATATATATGTTTAAGAAAAAAGAAAATATAAAATTGAGGTCATTTCAAAAATTATCAACCCTTATCAAAGGAAGCAAAATCTAATTGGAAACCATAGCCATACCTCTTTGGATTTTTTCGTTTTATATGTGTATGGTAACAGCATTCCTAACAAGTCGTCAAGGATCTATAATATATTCACCAATCTCCGAGACTTAGCGAGTAAGAAAGCTAGGGTTTTCACAAAAGGGATTCCTAATAAAAGAGTGCATAATCATATGGATAAGCTCACAGAGACAATTCAATTGCGATCCTATATAATATTCTCCTTGAGAGACATAATAACGAAGATGATTTTATGGACTAATTTGACGTACTGGATTCTGAAGAAACTGTCGCGTAGAGAGGGTTCACTTCATGCTTTCTTGAAAACTAGAGCAAGCTTTGTTAAATGGTTAATTTGGTTGGTAACTACACTATATTACTAGCTCAAGGCACTCCTCTTTCCACAACAAAAAAGTTTCGCTAGAAGCCATACATATAGCCTAAACAAGCTTCGATAAGTAATAAAACTTAAAAATTTACCTATTGACATACCAAGAGATGAGAATTTCAACAAGTTAGATGAGAATTCTCAATTTACAGATAGTCATAGAGAGCAGCTATACCTAGGTGAATGACTTTGATGGTATTGGTTAAAAGTAAATTATGTATTACTTCATAGGGAAACAAAACCAAAAATGAGAAAACTTCCAAAGTTGTGTGAATTGGTTCCTAATGCCATATTGTATTCCAAGGAGACGCTCCCTCACTCTCTATACGAGCTTGTAGGCTAATATTTACATGGTTTACTTCTTCGGTACATTTCATGAGAGTAGCTGAAGTGCTTGAAAAGGGGAAAAAAAAAGGGATGGATAAGAAATTAGTTGGGGTTTTCAAGAATAATTTGAGGGGTTCAATCTACAACCAAAAAAAGACTAAAGTGGTTATCCCTCGAACATTTTTTAAAGCAAAATGACTTCTAAAATACCTTAAAAACCTTGATTTGAGATTTCTTCAAGTGTAAGTTACCCTATAACATATTAAAAAAAAAGGGCCTTATCTCCTATCATTTTATATACGAGACAACTCATCTGGAAATACAAGAAGTACTAATAAAACAATAGAACAAAGGTAGAAAAGGAATCTATGTGCTGCAAATACATGTAATAAGACAACTAGCCTACACACACACAGAGTACAGTACAAGTTGTGGCTACCAGGGGGTGGGGGTGGAGATAATATTGTTTGACACCAGAAAAATTAATCTAGTAAAAATGATATTCTAAAAGAAGAAATGGATTAAAATTCAGCATAGATTTTAGCGTGATAAATTATTTTAGAAGCAGTGAACAAGTTTCAATAAAGAAAAGTTACACATGAGTCTAAACCTCGGGACATTTCTATCTCAGAAGTATCACAAAGAGCAACAAAATGCAAAAGGATTTTATCACAAATCAGAAGGCAAAAGCCAAAATTCTAAAACGATAAACTGAATATACAAGATGGGGGATGATCTATTGATTTTTCTGACCTTTTGACCTAATATTGTGGCCGGCCGGCTGAGTTTCCGGTCCATGCACCGTCCATTGGAAGCTGACCATTAGGCATATTCAGTGGCAAATTAAGAAAAGGTAGCCCCATAGATGGATCAGGAAATTGGCCGCTGCCTACACCACCCCCACTGGGTGGCTGCGACACCGATGCCTGCATCTGGAGCGCCTCGTCTTCATCCAAAGGAAGCCTCTCATAGGCCACGTTAGTGAAAGAGGCTGCGATAATGATAACCGGTCCAGAAGCAATCAAAGCACCGACAACATTTCCGCCCACAACCTGGCCTTGGCCACTAGCTAAATAAATTGTCAAACTCGTAGCCCCTGGCGGAGCCGGGGGCGGCAGAAAGGACCCTGACAAGGATAATATCTCAAAACGGCCATGAAGGGTCACCACTGAGCCCGCTGCAGCAGGTTGCCGCAGACTCACGTTGTTGACTGTGCCTGTTCCACTCAAAATGCAAATCCCTCTCTGTCTCTTCCTTGCATAAAGGGCCACGGCCTCAAAAACATCACAGCCATTGCTGACTTCCAGTATGTGAGCTCTAAGCGTATTCGCGCTCTCTTGGGTTATGATAACCGGCGGTTTTGGCTTGTTTTTGGAGCCCGGTGGACGGCCCCGTGACCTACGCGCCGCCATGTCGCCTGAACTTGTATTGGAGGTGATTAGGTCAAACCCTTGATGCATGTTGTCTTCGTTTTCGCCAGAAAATTGATTTCCAGTGTTGTCATCTTCAGAATCTGGTGGTATTTGGAGGTGGAGATCAGGCCTCAGTAGCTGAGGAACAAAATGAGAAGCTGATCCTAAGCCCAAACCAGCCATATACACAATAACAAAGAAAACAGGAAACCAAGAACAATAAAGTATGATAAATTAAATTAAACAAAACAAAACAATAAAAAAAAACTGATTTTTTTTTTTATAACTAGTAGAGAAATTAAAGAACAACAATTAAAACCCTAGAGCAAATAAATAAAAAAAATCGAATCGATTGGAGAGAAAGTAAAGGATGAGGAGGAAGAAACGTAGAGAGAGAGAAAGAGAGAGAGAGCATACGCAGACATTCAGAAAATTTAAAGTAAACATAAAAATATGAGAGAAAAATATATAATTATTGCCTTTTGGATTAAAAAATTGGATTAACTTGTTGTTAGGGAAAACAACAGAGTAAGTGAGGCTGTATGAGTAATTGTGTCTGTACGTATTTCAAGTCTGGAAGAAAATATGTAATGATAATGTTTCATATAACGTGTGATTAAGGTTTATATTATTCCCAACTACCTAATGTCACAAAATTTGTTCATATTGCATTGAACGTCAAATATAAATAAACAAATTTATCTATACTAACCCGTCATTTAGGGCCCAGCGAGAGCGTAACATGCACAGTGAATAATCCATTATGCATGACAATAGCATATCGACACAAATTTTAAATAACGAAATCATATCGTAAATTTAAGCTTCGGATAAGATGATTATTCGACCGTCGAGAAGTTTGAACGATAAATAGTGTGTTCCAAATAAATCATTTAATATGGTTGGGATTTTACCAAGAAAGTAGAAGAGAGGTGGAATAATCAAATTTGTCGATGGCCAGCTGTTTTTCTATATTCTAATAATGATGATTTTAAAAACATTTATTTTCTTGAAAAAATACTTAATTTATTAATATGTTGAAATTTCAAAATGTCTCGAAAATCCAAATAATAGTTTTCTTACGTCAAAGTTACAAGGAAAATAGTCACTTTTTATATACATATTTTATGAGATCCGCAATGCTCCATTGATTTCTCGTCAAAGTTTAGGTTTTGTTCCCACAGGTTTAGGGGAAGCTGACTTAATAATTATTTGCCTACCATTGGCTCGAGCTTTGATTTTCCTTACATTTGTATTTTTACGAAAATGCTAAAAATCGTTAGTTTTGTATTTTCTTAGTTATGTTCGTATGTTGGATCTTCGACTTTAGCTCCCCTTCTGAAGTATTTTATACTTCTCTTTCAAATTTAGAAAGGCGGCGACTAATCTTGAGGAATGACGGCATTTACCCCTAGTTCGCCACCCGAGTAAATTCGAATGTGGTCACAACTTATACACACTTTGGTCGGACATTTGGGAAATGATTCTCCTCCTCGTGGACCTTCCTTTACGACGTGCGGACAGGATCCCAGAGGGCAGAAGGGGTAATTTTTCTTGTGCATGGACTTGAGATTTGCATTTCTACAATTGAAGAGGACAGGTTTAAGTAATTAGTTGACACCATTGTCTTGTTTAATGTAATTAATTAATGAAGATTACTGAATAATGCGATTGTTAGTGTTCAACATCTTGTTCTAATAATCTAATTAAAGGTGTTTTGCATAAGACTAATTAAACCTTTAATTATGTGTTAAATACGCAATTCTCTATTTAATTTAATCATCTTTACCTTGTAAAACAAAGGTGGAAAAATATATTACTCTATAGGTAGAGAATCGATAAGTTAAGAGATATTGTGACCTTTGTTAATATAATAGTGTATGAAGAAAATTATTCTTTATAAATATATCATAAGATCATTTTTCAATAAAATACGAGTCCGATTATAGTTTATATGTATATTTACACCCTGTTTGATCTTCATTCTTATAAAAAATCATTTTTTTAAACTCATTTTCAATCACACATTCTTCAATAAATCCAAAATTTTTCATTATTTTTTAACCACATATTTTCTATTAAATCGTTATTTAAAATGCATTTTCCACTCAATAATGTGCATCAAACAGAGTATTAATTAATTTATATTATACTTAACTTTAAAACCTTATTTTTTCTAAACTATTATTTGACCCAAAGATCATGAAAATGAAATATTTGAGAATGTTATGAAGGAATTTGTCTTCTTTTTCAGTAGAGGAGACATCCGCGCTTAGGATGTGTAGCCGCGGCGAATGGGTCCTTGTTTTCATCTTGCCCGGTCTTATTTACTTGCAATCTTGGAAGTTTTGGATAAAATTGTATGATTAGTATTTAGGATGTACTTTGTATTAAAATTCGTATACCTACATGAAAATCGAAAAAAAAATTGACTGTTTGAACAAACAATATGATACAAGTATTTTATTTTATTTTTCATTCTTTGAGATGAAGTCTTAAATGCATGTTTTGATGCGGCTTAAATTATAATCTAAGTTGGTTAAGTACATTCCGTAACATTCATAACTTATTAGGCATTTATTATTCATACATTCTGTTAAATACATATCTTACAAACACTTAGCCCCAGTTTGATGGTCATTATTTGGCAAAAATAAAATTTTGAATAGTGAATTTTTGGAGAATATGTGGTTAAAAGTATGGAATAGTTTTGAATTTACGTGTAAAATATTTTATTTTGTGAACGTGTAGTCGAAAATGAATACGTAAAAAAAAAAGGAATTTTCAAATATTTTAAGCCCTTGTTTGATAATTTTTTAACCACATATTCTCCTAAAAAATATTATTCAAAATTTTGTTTTTCCCAAATAACAGTTGCCAAACAAGGCTAAAAAATGAATCGAAAGAGAGAGTAAAATGGTGAGAACAAAAGGGCGGTTTGTCTAGTTTGAATAGAAAGGCTCTTTGTCTCACATGTCCAACTCATGTTTGACAAGATTAAAATCTAACTTTTAATTTAAATCAAAATCAACGATGAATTTTAACCACATATTATATAATTACGCATTCCGTCAATTTCTATCCAAATTTGTCAAAAATTTGATTTTAATCCATTGATTAGACTGAATTAACATTGTCAACACATAGAGAGACAATTTGCAGGCACACACATTGAGGGTAGATGTCACGTGAGTATGTCCAAGTCAAGTTACAATTAACAGGCAAGAAACTTTTCAAACATAGCTGTTGGCCACGAGGTAGCAGTCACTTTCATTTGGAATCGGTCATACCTATATTTGACCTTGAAGGCCGGCTTTGTGGGCCCCAAGTCCACGTGCCCTACGGTCTACATTCTTGCTTTTGGCCGCCTCTCACTCATCCTTGTCTGCAAAATGGATCATTAACCAAACTGCTATATACTATAGACTCTTACACACTTTTAATTTTTTTTTTTGGATAAGGACTTTTAATTTTATTTATAAGTTAAATATCTAATTTAATTTAATTAGAAACGCCTTTTTAATTTTGTTATTTTATGTAAAGGATTGTACAACTTGACATCCTCGAATTATATAATCAAATCGGTAAAATTTGATTGAACTTATTTGACTATCGAGTCAAGTTGGCGAAGCATAGTGCGAAAATTGAGATCAGTTTACTTACTTTTTTTTGTTGCAATTCCTTGTGAGTAAAAATAATTGTGCCCCATGTAGGGGGAATTAGGTGTCGAAATAGTTGGGCTCCAAGTAAATGATGTGTGAGGCCGGTGGAGTTTGCTTGTGTGATTCACATGCATGAGCATAGACCCATATGGGTCGAGAAATTTAAAAGAAAATTCATATGATATGTTTAGAATATACGATCTCTGTTTGGGTAAAAATATTAGTAATTTATGAGGAAAAATGGATAATTGTTATGAATGGTTGGAAGTTAATATTCGGCTTTAACTATATGTAAGTCAGGATCCGTTTGATTCTCATTATTATAGAACGAGAATAAAAAATATAGTCATTATTGAGCCCCACACAAGAGATAGAAATTCAAAATTGATGATTTGATATGATGGATAACGGTCATATTTTTCATTTTTATGGATGAAAAATGAGAAACAAATCGGAGCTTAGTAATAATTTTAGCCAAACATGTCAAAATTTTAGGTGCCGTTCTCTTTATACTATAGACTCTTACACACTTTTTTTTTTTTTTTTTGGATAAGGACTTTTAATTTTATTTATAAGTTAAATATCTAATTTAATTTAATTTAATTAGAAACACCTTTTTAATTTTGTTATTTTTATGTAAAGGATTGTACAACTTGACATACTCGAATTATATAATCAAATCGGTAGAATTTGATTGAACTTATTTGACTATTGAGTCAAGTTGGCGAAGCATGGTGCGAAAATTGAGATCAGTTTACTTACTTTTTTTTGTTGCAATTCCTTGTGAGTAAAAATAATTGTGCCCCATGTATGGGGAATTAGGTGTCGAAATAGTTGGGCTCCAAGTAAATGATGTGTGAGGCCGGTGGAGTTTGCTTGTGTGATTCACATGCATGAGCATAGACCCATATGGGTCGAGAAATTTAAAAGAAAAATCATATGATATGTTTAGAATATACGATCTCTGTTTGGGTAAAAATATTAGTAATTTATGAGGAAAATGGATAATTATTATGAATGGTTGGAAGTTAATATTCGGCTTTAACTATATGTAAGTCAGGATCCGTTTGATTCTCATTATTGTAGAACGAGAATAAAAAATATAGTCATTATTGAGCCCCACACAAGAGATAGAAATTCAAAATTGATGGTTTGATATGATGGATAACGGTCATATTTTTCATTTTTATGGATGAAAAATGAGAAACAAATCGGAGCTTAGTAATAATTTTAGCCGAACATGTCAAAATTTTATATTTTGCATGAAGCATATCTATGCACCCATATTCTTGGAAATATGAAACAAATGCAACATCAATTACATTCTAGGAGCACCTTTGGCTTAAGCCAAAAAAGTTACTCATAACAAGTTTAATTATAAAAATAATTACTTTTACCTTTAAAAAAACTTAAATAAACATGGTCTAGTACATGGGTTAGGAGCTGTTTGCGTGAAGTAGATAGGTGATTGGGTGAAAGCAAAAGAAAAGGTGTATCTGCCCCGGTAGTACTGTATTCAAA